GATGATGATGATGATTATTATTATTAATATTTTTATTATTACTATTATTATTTTATTATTATTCAAGCTGCAGTTAAGTAATCAAGCAAAAACCGTGTCTTCTGAAAACTGACACAAGATTAAGACAAGTTTCTATTATCTCAGTTTATTCCGCTGTAAAAGCGTGTATGTATTTTTGTACTTTGCACTCCTCCCAGGAGGCTATCCCCATCCGCCTGAAGAGAGTTGATTTCACCGACGAGCCTGGGTACTTCGCCGCTTTTTTCGCGCTGATCAAACAGTTCATGAAGGACAAACTGTTGAAGAGGGTAGGGGTTCCATTCTCTCTCACATCTTGTTTTTGTATTAGTAGAGGTTTTGCGGCGCTCGCAACTGCATAAGGTCATATGAGCGCCAAGGGGCGGATGTCAACAGAGAAGTCCTTACAGGGAATCAGACTTACTCTGCTCACCTCTCTAGCCTCAACAGCATAAAGTCTGCTTCGATTATCAAGGCACCCCGGAAATAGCGGGTCACAAGAGAGTGACAAACATACAAAAAAGTAGAGGAAAATGACGGTAGTAAGGATTAGGAAATAAAAAGGAGCAGCAGTTCCCTGTTGTACTTCAGGCATAGTTATGAGCATGACATTGATGAATTAGTCCATTTACAATTGCAATTCTACTGTGCATAAGAATTCGAGATGTTAATACCCACTTGTGCATGGGTTTCTAATGTAAAAAATTGCACTGCCTCTGAGCCAGTACAAAATTGGTCGCTTTTAAGCACAAGGGGGCTATCCAGAAAAAAGTGGTGTTTTGAGTAAATCGAAGGTATAAAGTTTTTGCTCCTTGTTTAGTTTCTTTAAAAGACGAGGAAAGTTTTCTCTATAACCAAACAAATATACACACCAATGAAACCAAAGTTCTCCTATAGGTAGGGCAATGCCCACTTTCGGTGTAGGTCAAGATTTCTGGAAACCCCGAAATCTGGGTTAGCCGCTTGTCCTCAAAAGCGACCAAATTAGGTCTTGCCTCGTCTGTTTTCAGATCACCATGCACGGGGACAAACTGAACAAACTACATGACGTCATCAGTCCAGATTTTTTACCCACAGATTTAGGCGGGAAACTCCCGCTGTGTAGCAACAAGGTGATGTTGTTGTGTGTTGTTGTTATTATTGTTGTTGCTGTTGTTTTTGTTGTTGTTATTGTTGTAGAAACATGTGTCTGGTACAGGTGTTGGCTTGAGTGTGCCGTCTTTTCATTTTGGCTGCTTTTCTCTGGGATATCTTTACTTCTATATATAACTTTTACCTCCTCTTGTTGATCATTTAGTTTGGGTAGAATAATAGTAATAATAATAATAATAATAATAAATATGATAA